AATTTGGAGAATCTGAAGTCATCTTTAAAAAAACCAGTGACTGAAATCGACACGAATATGGTGCGTGCTGCGATAGACGACTGGGCGCGACGCTAAGGGCCTGTATTAAAAATGAGGGAGGTTATTTCGAATATTTTTATGCTTTTTTATTCCTTAATTAATGTACTAAGAATTGATATATCACTCATTACAAACTGATCAGTACTTTTGTTTTTATCATTATTTCCATTTATTGACAGAACTTTGGGACAACCGACTATGTATATAAAATTCTCGTGTCACAATTTTCGTTCCCATACTCCTCCGAAACGGCTCGACCGATGCTTATGAAATTTTTTATGCATATTCAGTAAGTCTGAGAATTCGTTCTTCGAGAGAGAACGAGTTCTTATTATATACATAAATAAATAAATCTGTGGCGCTACAACCTTTTTAGGTCAGGGCTTCAAATTTCTGTATATGTTTCATGATCATTTGTCAATCTAATAGGCACAGGATCAGCCTCATGTGCCTGACACGCCGTCGACGTTTTCGGTCTAAGGCAAGCCGGTTTCCTCACGATGTTTTCCTTCACCGTTCGAGCGAATATTAAACACAAAACAATAAAGAATTCCAGGTGCACAGCCGGGATCGAACCTACGACCTCAGGGATGAGAGTCGCACGCCAAAGCCACTAGGCAAACACCGCTCATTCTCGGGCAAGAAGGCAAACTATAGTATAATTATATCACTTATTGTCCGCCTTTTTAAATATATAATAAGTATGTTTATTTATTACGTACAGACTTTTAATGTAAATTAAACTATTTATAAATACTTGAAACTTACGGAAAATATATAAAAATAATTAGTTTAATAACTAATTAATGTTTACAGTTTCATCGTTAACAAGTTGTCTACTCAATGGGGTTTTAAAACGACGTTATAAAACCCCACGACGGTATATAAACGATAAATATATTAAAAACTTGTTTTAACTGCATAATAAACGCAATTAGTGGACCGCCGCATGACTTCCCCGGTTTCTATATCCAGACGTAATTTATAAGAACCGTTTCATAAACAATCAGCGAATTTTCCAGACATAGCACGGCTGGACATTTCGTAAATAAGTAATCTAATATATAAAATTCTCGTTCCACGGTGTTTGTAATTAAACTTCTCCGAAATGGCTCGACCGATTTTCATGAAATTTTGTGTGCATATCGGTTAGGTATGCGAATCGGACGTGACCTATTTTTCATCCCCCTAAATGTTACGGGTGGTCCACTAAATTTTATTTTTTAGGACAATTTTTTTTATTGAACTTAAAAACTGTTTCCTAGAAATAATATACATGGCAAAACAACGTTTGCCGGGTCAGCTAGTATTATATGATTTTTTGACTTTTTTCGATAAAAAATAATGAGGTATTTCGAACCGAACCAATAAGACTTAAGGGCCAAGAAAAGAGCGTACCAATTTTTAAAAGGCCGGCACTTGCGAGCTTTTTGGCATTGTGAGTTCATGCAACGGTCATTTAACATCAGGTGAGCCTTCCGCCGGATGAATCTAAATATATAAAACAAAGTCGTGTTAGATACACCACTTATAACTCAAGATCGGCTGGACCGATGTTAGTTCTCTTTTTTGGTGGATTCTTCTCCGCTCTGAATAGCAGAATAAGTAATAAAATATCGGATAAGTTATCGAATAAAAATAAATTAATTTTACGAATTCAAACAGCACGTGGTGCTATCTGTTGACAAAATTACGCATATAAAAGAAACCTAACACTTTGTTCTTGCGCCGGTTCAAAAAACAAAAAATTTTGTTTATCAGAAAGTGATTTAACATGCAGCATCGCATAATTAGCGTTAGAGAGAAGAGGCCTAATGTGTAAAACTGCAATTTCTTTCGCAATGGCAAGCAATAAAACATTTTTGTATTTGGAAGCGTTCAAGTATTACGTTACGCAATTTTTGAAGATTATTGACCCCCCCCCATGTAACTCGCCGTAACGTTTTTCAGTACCCAAGTATAGTAAAACGTTTCGTGATCGCCTAGTGACTCTTTAGTTACTATTATGTGGTGTAAGTCGAAAAAAATATTAACAATAACGCGTAATTTAATCCCCGCACCGCATCGTAACGATTTACAAAAGGACCTCCCCCCTCCCAAAATTCGTAACGTAACACTTGGACGCTCCCTTTGCATAAAAGTTGTATTAATGTTACCTTAATGAAATTCTAAATTATGTTTAAAGTTAACACGATATTATTATACTGTTAGGCGGAACGAAGTTAGCGCCGGGTCCGCTAGTAAAATATAAAAAAAGAAATGGAAAGTTAACAATCGACTCTCCTCTTATAATATGTACATCTTTATCTATTCTGTGAAACGAAATATCAGATTGCAAAAAGACAATAAAAATTATCCATTAATTCTTATTCCCAACCACCTGTGCATTGTTCATCGAAATCGTTTTACATTGCATTGTCGTGAAGGTAATTCTGATGAGGTCAATGTTCCTCGTACCCAGACGAGATATAATACCTACTAAAGGCACTTGTATTGATATTTTAATAGACAATATTTTAGCTGTGGTTCCAGTCGCATTAAATCAGTCGTAGCACGATATTCTATAGCCTAAAGCTTTCCTTGGTAAATAGACATAAATGCAAGATTTTTTTTGTTAGACATATTGTATCGCGGTTGTTGGCCAAGTGGCTACAGCATGCGACTCTCAAACCTGAGGTCGTAGGTTCGATCCCCGGCTGTGCACCAATGGACTTTCTTTCTATGTGCGCATTTAACATTTGCTCGAACGGTGAATGAAAACATCGTGAGGAAACCGACATGTCTTAGACCCCAAAAGTCGACGGCGTGTCAGGCACTGGAGACTGATAACCTACTTGCCTAATGGATTTAAAAATGATCATGAAACAGATTCAGAAATCTGAGGCCAAGACCTAAAGAGGTTGAATTCTTTAGGAATTTTCAAGACTTTTTCACACCTTGGGTTCCACTATCGTAATTTTTAACGGAGGGTTCTAAATTCTAATGGGGTCTTGTCAGGTCTTGACCGAGGTCTACGTTGAATATAACCCCGGGTCCCTTGAATTGAATGCCTTGGTGGACACCAGGAGGGCGTGTGGAGGGCTGAGGTGTTTATTATTTTATTTTTACATTTTAGGTACAGAAACAGAAAACAGATTGGTTTAATACATACAGGTATTACACCCTAAACAACATTTGTAAACCTGAAGTCCAATTACATACACAGCGTTTTAGTGTAATCTTCAATGCTGGTTTACCAAATATTAACAATTACATACAAAAAAAAAAACAAACTCAAAATGTCTTTATTCATGTAGGTAAACAATTAAAGACATTTTGTTAACAATTACACTTATGAATTGTCAAGTTAAATTAATTGTAAATTTACATTTACTACCAGTTCGTAGAGTGGGTCAAGTCAAGGGCGTAGAGCGGGTAAGAAGAACTGGCACAGTATATAATATGTACATATAATCAATTTAATGACTAAAAAAAATTTAATAACAAAAAAAAGTTAATGACAATAAAATTAAATCATGTTAAGTTATGCTTTTGTGGCAGAGGGCTTTTAGTGGCACAGTCCCTGCGTAAAGCAACATCCATGGGGCGGGCATGCGTAAGCGCATTTTCACCACATTAAAAAATATTCAAATGGTGAAAGTTCTTTTGCAAACAAACACTAAAATCTTTCCTCTTTATAATATTAGTAAAGATCATACAACCTTTACATTGTTATTTTCAATTCTGATAACCCGCCATAACTCTTCTATAGACAAGATGGCGTCGCACCAGTTCTCACAACATACATTGTCTGTTACACGTAAGCAAACTTCAAGTTCTCTACGTGTTCACAGGTACATCAATATAATAAATTAATTTAATGTTTATATTATTTTTAAGAATGCTACGATATCGGCGATTCGACTACGTCTTTTGTCAGATGTCTCTCTATAAAAATAAATATTTTTCATTTTAGTTATTTTATTCTAAAGCCATGTTTTACACAGTTCATAAAGGGGTCTCCCTTTGCAGTGCATCTACAATCTTTGGTTGTGCATGTGCACCACGATGCGCAAGCGACCGGATACTCTGTACCCGAGGCCCGTACGGAGGAGCCCTGCTGCACATACACCTGCTGAACAGCATGCTGTCATAGCGGGAAGGCTAGATTGCCCCTACATGGGTCACTTTATGATTGAATATATATAGTTTAAAGCTATTACTAATATAATATTTAGGACCTATAGATATCTGCTTGAATAAATAAATTATTACTATGTGTGAATGTTCATGAATCTTTCGTATGGAAAAGATTTGAAGCGGCGCTGGCTGAACGTCGAAATGGTAAGAACTGACTGAATGAACTGATGGTCAGTTCATTTAAATTGTAATTTCACATGACATTTGACTGATGTGAGACTGTGGTTAAACTTAGGAGCCGAGACTTAGCGAGAACTATCCAATGTTATTTGACATACATTCGCAAATTCTACTAGGTATTCTAAAATCAAACATAAATCTAGTTTTAAGAGCAAATCCGTTCTTTGTATGAAGTTTGCCATATTAGCGCTGGGGATGAAATTGTGACTATTATGGACCTTAATCAAAAGATAATTATACAGAAGACACAGGTCAACACAAAATTTGACTCAAAAGCATAAAATTCCGATATTTTAGTTCATAATGGACGAAAAAAAAACCAGTTTGCTTTTGTTTATAGTCTAGCCGTCTATTACTCGAGTGTCATTTTGGCACTATGTAATCGTAAAAACCCCACTCTAATCGCGCCGTAATGTATTTAAATTTATTTAAAAAAAAAATCTATCTCAAAAGATGTTTTACCAAAATCCGGCATTATATTCGTTACTGTGCATAACGGAAAAATCATTAAAAAACTATTTTTTGTATATTTTTCAGTACATATAAAAAAATTCATCAGTTAAGACTAATTAGAAATAAACTTACCATTCAATACTCCTATATCCTTTGACACAACAGTGTATACTCTTGAATTTATCCTGAAATCCATACTCGAACGGAATCGGCTCCTTTGTAAAGTGCATCCATGATGAATTTGTCGGAAACGTGTTCGTCGAACAGTAACCGGCGTGCGCGCACGATGCGCTTGCGACCAAACCGAAAGCCACAAGCAACAACATTATTGTCACATCCTGCAAAAAGAGATTTTAATTAAACGAAATCTAGTTTTTAAATAGCCCAAAAATATGTTACATCTATCTATTTCGTATAGTAGTTTTAGTAACAATTATTCTTTTTTTTTATTTACTATATATAATATATATATATACAGTGTTAACTCTTTATAACCTCAGTCGTTGTTGAACGCAAATCTCTCTATAACGTATTAATACCTGCAGCTGAGTGTCATCATCGGACGTCGAGGCAGAATACGAAATTCCACCCGTATCACCTCGACGTCCGCCATTCCACAACTGAGCGTTTCTCAAGGCAGTTTTTGCCGCGCACCACCACTATGAGGAACCAGCTGCCCACTGAAGTATTTCCGAACCAATTCGACTTAGGGTCCTTCAAGAAAAGAGCGTACCAATTCTTAAAAGGCCGGCAACGCAATTGCGAGCCCTCTGGCATTGAGAGTGTCCATGGGTGGCGGTATCACTTAACATCAGGTGAGCCTCCTGCCCGTTTGCCCCCCGTTCTATATAAAAAAAACGTAAAAATGAGTTAAATTAGTTTTAACACTAAACTCATACATTATTTCCCTTGTCCCTTGAAATTCGTTATAGAGAGCTTACACTGTAGATACTTTTACACACAAATCTTCCAAGACTGCTTATGTACACTGTTAATATTTTTTTTTTATTATTAAATTCTTTTATTTTTTTTTTGCGTGTGAGGCGCAAAGCAACTGTTGTGGTCTCTGGTAGATTGATCAGCGCTGTGGAACACGTCTGCTCCACAGCATAATGCCAGGGCTAGTTACAACCACAACACACACAGATTACACACTTAAAATGTACCTTATTAAGAAAAAAATCTTTCTTTTTTAATTATATTTCTTTCTTGATTATTAATAGTATTATTTTGTATTTCTATGTGTGTGTTTCGTTACTTAATAAATATGTTATGTCTATGTCTAAGCTTTTCGAGCTATACGGATGGTCCGTACGGTCAATTATAGCATTAAGTAGTGCATGGCCGCGGAGCGACCGTTCATCCGGTCGAGGAGCCTCCACCGAGCGCGTCCGTGTATTTTCCGGAATGAAAACTTTTTAGGTTTATCTGTGATTTTTCTCTAGGTATATCAAGTTATAAGTTTTTAACTAATAAATAAAAAATAGGGATTGATCGTAGAGGGTAGATGAAAATTAAGGGTTGTATGTATTTTTGTATGCTGTATCATAAAAAATCTAAACAAAAAAATTGTCTGAAAAATAAAAATATTTTTTTTGGGGTGAACACCCCTTATCACTTAAGGGTTTGAAAGATAGATAGTAGCCGATTCTCAGACTTACTGAATATGCATATAAAACTTCATAACAATCGGTCGAGCCGTTTCGGAGGAGTATGGGAACGAACATTGTGACACGAGAATTTTATATTATACTAGCTTAAAATCCGGCTTCGCCCGGGAGTAGATATGAGATGACGTGGTAGAGTCGAAATAAAAAAATAAACTATGACGTAAAAGTAAAAAAAGTTTATTGAAAACGTTTTCTATTATTTACAATACTTGTTTATAAACAACATTTTTCATTTTATTGTCCGGAGTATATATACATAAATTTTCGGATTTCCTACTCTTGAGCAAGCTACATATAGCTGACCGTGAGAGAAGCAGGATTCTTTGAGGTTAATGCCACAATATTTTAAAGTTTGTCCTTGCGCTTTGTTAATTGTAAAACTAAAGGCTAATTTTATTGGAAACTGCAGTCTTTTAAATTGAAATGGCAATTCCGAAGAGATCAGAGGTATTCTAGGTATAAATACTGTCTGTCCTTTGGTCTTTCCAGAAATAAGTTCAGCTTCAATGATATTATTCGATAGCTGTTTTACGATCATTCTAGTTCCATTACATAATTTTGGGGAGTTGAGATTTCTGAGTAGTATGATTGGAGTTCCAATTTTCAGACGAAGGCAGTGTAATGGCATTCCTGGTACTTGTAAAGAGTTTAGAAATTCAGTGGGGAAGTTGACACTTTCTTCAATGGATACCATCGTGTCGATCGATTTATATATTTTCTCTTACCAGGTATTTTCTTTAGAATATTAAAATTGATATCGTCAACAATATTATTTTTAGTGGCCAAAATTGCTCTTTGAAATAACCACTTTTTTTAATGTTTTGAGAACTAATTTGGATAACTAAAATTATGTCGCTTTAACTCCAAAATATAAGTTAGCTAATGACGTATAAATACACAAAATTTAATAACTTTATTATAGCAACAAATTAAATTTAAGACTATTGAAATTGGAATTTTAAATTTCGTGTCACTACTACACATGCTACAATTGCTCGCAACGCTTTTGGAAATGCAACCCAAACAATCGTTGTCTTGAACGAAGTTCAAATATTCGATAACAGATGGCGTCACTGCACTTAATTTCCAAGTTGAAGGGTCGGAAATTCCCTTATATATCTTTAAAAACATGCCCTTTAGATTAAAACGGGAACTTTCTTGTTCGAGGGGGGATAAAGGGCTATCACACCACATAAGTCCTTTTATCGTGTCGGGACTCCTTTTTAAGTTTTATCGGCACGCACATTTTATCGACTTAGTTTTATTATATACTAGCTAAAAAACCCGGCTTCGCCCGTGCATATGGAGTAGATATGAGATGACGTGGTAGAGTCGAAATAAAAAAATAAACTATGACGTAAAAGTAAAAAAAGTTTATTGAAAACGTTTTCTATTATTTACAATACTTGTTTATAAACAACATTTTTCATTTTATTGTCCGGAGTATATATACATAAATTTTTCGGATTTCCTACTCTTGAGCAAGCTACATATAGCTGACCGTGAGAGAAGCAGGATTCTTTGAGGTTAATGCCACAATATTTTAAAGTTTGTCCTTGCGCTTTGTTAATTGTAAAACTAAAGGCTAATTTTATTGGAAACTGCAGTCTTTTAAATTGAAATGGCAATTCCGAAGAGATCAGAGGTATTCTAGGTATAAATACTGTCTGTCCTTTGGTCTTTCCAGAAATAAGTTCAGCTTCAATGATATTATTCGATAGCTGTTTTACGATCATTCTAGTTCCATTACATAATTTTGGGGAGTTGAGATTTCTGAGTAGTATGATTGGAGTTCAATTTTCAGACGAAGGCGGTGTAATGGCATTCCTGGTACTTGTAAAGAGTTTAGAAATTCAGTGGGAAGTTGACACTTTCTTCAATGGATACCATCGTGTCGATCGATTTATATATTTTCTCTTCACCAGGTATTTTCTTTAGAATATTAAAATTGATATCGTCAACAATATTATTTTTAGTGGCCAAAATTGCTCTTTGAAATAACCACTTTTTTTAATGTTTTGAGAACTAATTTGGATAACTAAAATTATGTCGCTTTAACTCCAAAATATAAGTTAGCTAATGACGTATAAATACACAAAATTTAATAACTTTATTATAGCAACAAATTAAATTTAAGACTATTGAAATTGGAATTTTAAATTTCGTGTCACTACTACACATGCTACAATTGCTCGCAACGCTTTTGGAAATGCAACCCAAACAATCGTTGTCTTGAACGAAGTTCAAATATTCGATAACAGATGGCGTCACTGCACTTAATTTCCAAGTTGAAGGGTCGGAAATTCCCTTATATATCTTTAAAAACATGCCCTTTAGATTAAAACGGGAACTTTCTTGTTCGAGGGGGGATAAAGGGCTATCACACCACATAAGTCCTTTTATCGTGTCGGGACTCCTTTTTAAGTTTTATCGGCACGCACATTTTATCGACTTAGTTTTATTATATACTAGCTAAAAAACCCGGCTTCGCCCGTGCATATGGAGTAGTAATGACGTGGTAGAGTCGAAATAAAAAAATAAACTATGACGTAAAAAGTAAAAAAAGTTTATTGAAAACGTTTTCTCATCATTTACAATACTTGTTTATAAACAACATTTTTCATTTTATTGTCCGGAGTATATATACATAAATTTTTCGGATTTCCTACTCTTGAGCAACTACATATAGCTGACCGTGAGAGAAGCAGGATTCTTTGAGGTTAATGCCACAATATTTTAAAGTTTGTCCTTGCGCTTTGTTAATTGTAAAACTAAAGGCTAATTTTATTGGAAACTCGTCTTTTTAAATTGAAATGGCAATTCCGAAGAGATCAGAGGTATTCTAGGTATAAATACTGTCTGTCCTTTGGTCTTTCCAGAAATAAGTTCAGCTTCAATGATATTATTCGATAGCTGTTTTACGATCATTCTAGTTCCATTACATAATTTTGGGGAGTTGAGATTTCTGAGTAGTATGATTGGAGTTCCAATTTTCAGACGAAGGCAGTGTAATGGCATTCCTGGTACTTGTAAAGAGTTTAGAGATTCAGTGGGGAAGTTGACACTTTCTTCAATGGATACCATCGTGTCGATCGATTTATATATTTTCTCTTCACCAGGTATTTTCTTTAGAATATTAAAATTGATATCGTCAACAATATTATTTTTAGTGGCCAAAATTGCTCTTTGAAATAACCACTTTTATTAATGTTTTGAGAACTAATTTGGATAACTAAAATTATGTCGCTTTAACTCCAAAATATAAGTTAGCTAATGACGTATAAATACACAAAATTTAATAACTTTTTTATAGCAACAAATTAAATTTAAGACTTTATTGAAATTGGAATTTTAAATTTCGTGTCACTACTACACATGCTACAATTGCTCGCAACGCTTTTGGAAATGCAACCCAAACAATCGTTGTCCTGAATGAAGTTCAAATATTCGATAACAGATGGCGCCGCTATACTTAATTTCCAAGTTGTAGGGTTGGAAAGTTCCTTATATCTTTAGAAACACGCCCTTTAGATTAAAACGGGAACTTTCTTGTTCGAGGGGGGATAAAGGGCTATCACACCACATTAGTCCCTTTATCGTGTCGGGACTCCTTTTTAAGTTTTATCGGCACGCACATTTTATCGACTTAGTTTTATTATATATATATATATAGATATTATATATAGGTATAAAGATAGTCGCGTGCTAGAAAATACCCTTACATCTCGGTTTGTATAATCTTAATTTATAAATTTGTAACTTTGAGTAGGTACGCGATTTTATTCTCTCGGTTTTCCCCTATATAATGCGGGGATTTCACAAGTTCTGATAATTAGTACGCACTTATTTCGTTCATTACATAATTTACGATTATGACAAGTTAAACATGAATAATTTGTACACAACGCGTTATATGGGGTCATACAACGCGTTTCCTATAACG